TTTTCTCTGTGCCTGGCCCTGTGCTCAGCCCACTCTGCTGGGGTCCTGGGGGCTCTGAAAGGCATTAGAAAATACTGAAAGCCTGGCCTGCCTTTCACAGGGACCTTTAGGTCCTTGGGAACCAGGGGGGAGAGCATCTAGGGAAGGCTACAACCAGACAAAGGCCCAGGGCGGAAGAATGTCAGGAGCAGAGGAGGTAGGCAAGAGAGAGGGTACAACCTGAAATATCCAGAGGGAAAATAGTTGGAGAGAGGGGAGGATAAAATATTGCAGTCCAATTCTAAACAACCTAGAAGGACAGCCTGAGGGGTGCAGGCTTGGTTCCACCAGCAATAGGGAGCCATCAATAGCTTGGGGGAAGAGGAAGAGCAGCAAGGAGCAAAATGCTGGGGCTGACCGAAGAAGGCCCATCTCACATCCAACTGTGAGTATGTTCACAGCCTTCCCATGCCCGCAGCCCCTGGCCTCCAGCTGGGTTCCACAGGAGAGAATTTGCCTGTTGACCTTTACTCAGTGATACTGGCAGAAAACTCAAGGCTCCGGGCTGAGCTGGAAAAGAACTTCCACCAATCAGCCCCAATCATCCTGCAGCAGCAGGCTCTGCCGGTAAGAGCTGCCAGTACAGCTTGGCCTGGCCACACCTGCATGGGTCACCGATGCCCAAAATCACCCATAGCATGATCCAAGTTGAACGCCCAACCGGCGTTGGTGGTATAGTGGTGAGCATAGCTGCCTTCCAAGTTGAACGCCCAAGCCTGGGGCTGGGCTTCCTGGGCTTACTGATGTGCCTGAGTGCCTGGGAATTTATTCTTCCAAACTTCACCTTGACTCTTCACCTGGCATCCTGGCTTACTCTTGACCCCTGACCCCTGACCTCTGACCCCTGGCTCCCAGCCACACTCACACAGGCCTCTATGAGCTCTGTTCCAGAGCATTCCTCAGGATTGGTGCATCCCTGGAGAGCCCTTTTTCCCATCCCAGGTGGACCCCAGGGAGTTGGGAGCAGGTGGCGACTTGGCAAAGAGGATGCGAAAGACAGATGGTCCGGGCCACTCCAAGTGCACCGAGGCCCTGCCCGCACAGGTGTGTCCCAGGCCCCTCCTCTACATAGGCTGCTCCAGGTGCCTACTGCTGGACACATTCAATGACAAGCTGTTTGGAGTCACAGTGGGTGGGGTGGGGCACACGGAACAGGACTTGTAGGAGGTGAATTCCCTTCAGAAGCCCCTGATGGCGAACATCCAGGGAAAGCATAGGGATGGGACCCTGGCTTCACAGATCCTTCACTCTGCACAAAGACTCCCTGCCCGACTCCCTCCTGAGCATTACAGGGAGCTCCATGATGCCTTTTACATTAAAACATTGCAGTGCCCCAGACCTGCAGAGGAAATAGCTGTGAAGGAAACTCAGGCCCAGAATTGCAGAAAGGGGCACTGCCTCCAGGAGCTGATTGGACTCAGACCTGGCTGGTCTCTCCTTCAGGACCTTGCAGCTTTCCAAGTTCCTGGTGTTGCTGTCCCAGCTGGGACCAAACATGAGCTTCTACTCTGCCCACAGGATCTCCTTGCCAGTACTACAGACAAGTTTAACCTCATGGCCAAGCTGGAGCAGGCTCAGAGCAGGATCTTGTCCCTGGAAAGCCAGGTGGGTAATTTGCAAGGGTCAGTCATGCTGGGCCAGGCCCATTGCTTTGTCTGTGGCCAAGGGCAAGGTTCAGAACATGAGCAGGACCAGGGCTCAGAATGTAAACAGGGTCAAGGCTCAGTGTGTGACAGGACTAGGGTTCAGTGCATGACCAGGTTAGATTCAGTCTGTGACCAGAGTCCAGCACCATCATGGACTCAGTGTCCAGTCTCAGGATGTCAGGTTACAGAAAAGGTTCTCCATGTCTGGCTGGCTGGCTGGCTCCCTCTCTGTCACCGTCACCCCTGCCATCCCAGAGGTCCCTTGGGGAGGGATCAGGCCCACATTGCCAGGAGCTTTGCTGTCTTCCCAGGGAGCAGGCCCAGGTCCTGATGGGCCCTGGGACCCACAGATCTGCCCACTACCTCTGTCTATGTCTACAGTTAGAGAATTCAGCCCGACGCTGGGGCCGAGAGAAGCAGAACCTGGCCACTCGGTTACTAGAGCAAGAACATGGTTTTGGGCGCCCCCCAAACCTCATCACAGACCAGCCTGTGAGTAACCCTGCTTCTGGGGTCCAGATGATAGGGCTGAGACCCCATCCCTAAGACACTGGGCTTGAGAAGAACTTGGGGGGCCAACCCATGGGCTGGGGTCAGAAGTCCTGAGCTCAGTTCCTGCTGTGCTACCAACTGAAGTTGTCACTTGATCTCAGTTTCCCCACTCATATGGGAGAACAGGAGCCCCTTCCCCCACAGGTTGAGGTGAAACTCCAGGAAGAGACAACTGGATGAGTCACGGCCCACACAGGCACTTCTAGAATGTTCTGTCACTGCCTGTATTCTAGGACTGGCTGTGCTTATAGACAGAATAGCAGTAGCCTCCACTTACAAAGTCATTGTGCCCAAGAATCTCCCCTTACCACCTACCCTTAGGGCCCCCACATAGCTGAAGTGGGTGCCATCTTGGCAGCTTTCAAGGAGCAAACAGGCCTGCATACACCATCCCTCACCACATCCCTGGGGACCCCAGCCCTTCAAAACACAGGCCCTGACTTTTGCTCTTGGCCCTCAGTATTTTGCTTATGGCTGAGGGCCCAAACTCCTGGAAAGGGCCTTACAAGGACAGAGACTTGACAGGAACATAGAAACCATCTGGGCCCATGGACTCTTGGAGAAATTAGGTGTTATCTGTTGCGGTCAGATGAGTTGAGGAATCTCCAGAAATTATGGGTGGTGGATCCCAGAGTTGTGGCTGGCTGGGCAAGATGCCTTGAAGCAGTCACCCCTGGGAATGAGCATAAACTCACATGTCCACTTTGCCTCCCACAGAATGCCTCGACCCATGCCAAGGATCTCAAGCAGACCTCAAAACAGGAAGTTTTGCTGCCCATCTCAGACCCCAAGCCCAGCCAGCCCTGAGACACACAGGTGGAAACCTCTACCTCCCAACACACCTGAGCCCCACAGAGGCCTCCTCCTTCCCTGGGCACTGGGCAGTCTCACCCCAGCCCCTAAAGATGACTTTATTAAATGCTGAAGCTCAACAAGTGTTCTCTTTCTTGAAGCAAGGCAGCCTGGGCCCTGCTGCCTCCTCCCAGACCCCACTCGGATCCCTAGCCCTTGGCCTTGGCCTCACAGCCTCCTGCTTGTCCCAGGAGTTAAAGCCAAAGCTATAATGGACTAGGAGGGTGGTGAGAAGAGGGCCCAGGGAGATAAACCCCTTCCTGCTCTTCAGAAGAAATGAAGCCACGCTGTTAAGAGATGGGAGGGAGGCCAGAACCCCCAACCTGCCCCCAACATCTATTGTGCCTGAGATCCTTTCTCCCACATGGTTCATCTGTCTCTTAGGAAGGGAAAGGCTTGAAGCCTTCCTGGGCATCACAATGGCAATACCCCATTTGCCAGGGCTGTATCCAAATGTGGCCAGGGACGGGAAAGCAGCCAGGCCAGGAGGAGGAGCCCTCACTGAGAGTCAACAGGCCAGAGCTCTGGCTGCAAGCATGCAGTGTGACCTCAGATAACTCCAAGTCTCTCTGAACCAGTTTCTTCATCTATCCCACACATGCTGACATTTCTGAGCCAAAGATAACTCAAGCCCAGAGAAGAGAGAGGAAGCAGGAAGGAAAGAAAAGGATAAGAGAAGAGGATGCATGGTAGGGAAAAGCAAAAAGGCTGTGGGAGAGAACCCAGACCTTTCAGGTCTTTGGGAGAAAAGGCCAAGCCAGTTGGGCCACTGTCCCAGGCTGGACAAGTACCCTGTCCACCTGCAGGACTTAGACCTGGGGGACCAAGGGCCCTCAAAAGGCTGGCACCTGCTCAGGGCCAGAGTTGAGAAAGTCAGAGGGATTGAAGGGCCTGGACAGGGACAGTCACACAGCACAATTTTGTACCAGAGACTGCTCTGGTCCCCTGTCTACTTCCCAGGGCTTGGACATGTCTCCCTGGAGCCAAGTAGGAGGCATGGGAAAATCCAGAGCAGGATCAGGAGGTGGAGCAAGCATGCCAGCTCCCTGTCCTGGGCCAGGCACCTCACACCAGCCCCTTCCCAACCCCACAAGGAACTACCATCAGGGTTTAGCAAAGCAGCACACTGTTGAGTGTCCCACCCAAGGGGGCAGGAGTGGCCCAAGCCACCTCATCCTCAAAGGGGACTTCCCCAGCTCCTCTGTAATCATTGCCTGTCCGGCATGGTGGTCCTAGCTCTCCCCTCTCAGCCTTGCCCCAACCCCAGGCAGCCTGAGTTGCTGTGGGTGTGTTGTCACGTGAGGGTTGCTCCTGCATGCCCCAATCTGCACACGGGTGACAAGCACCACAGGGTCCACTGGAAAGAAAAAGACACTCCCATAGTTCAGCTATTTATTGTCTTCCCAGGGTAAGAGAAGGGGAAAAGTGGGCCAGAGGGGGGAGGCAGGGGAGCACTGAGCCAAACCACATGCCCTGAAGCAGTGGGGACACAAAACTGCACATATGAGGCCCAGTGGCTCCCACCAGGCCATTGCCCACATGACTGCAGCCTGGTCAGTAGGGGGCAGTGCCACACTCTGCAATCACACCTGGGCAGCGTCCTCTTTGAAGGGCAGAAAGGTGAAGTAGATGGGCTGCTCAGGCATGAGGATGAGGTTGAACTTGGTGCCCACGTCTGTTAACCGTTGCAATTTAATCCTGAAGTTCTCCAGCACCTGAGAAAGGAGGTGAGCTTAGGGAGGGGGCAGAGGGCTGTCTCCCCAGGCTGGGCTCATCCACCTGCAAACAGGATGATTGAGTGCACCTTGGGGAGCCCAAGGGCTGCAGCCCCAGCTCCTCATTTAAATGCAGCGTGAGTGTCCTGTTCCCTGGGTTTAGGCCTTGCCCTTAACCCTTCCCCACCCTATTTCATAATGGCCCTGAGGACATCAGTGGGTGATGTGTGGGTCAACCCAGGAGAGGAGAGAGACAATGTACTCCAGCCCTGCACCCCCTGAGCTCTGGACAGAGATAGAAGGAGGCAAGGTTGGTGACTTCACAAGGTCCAGGTAGCCTAGGGTGTCTAGATGTCCCCAAGACCCACTCACATAGATGAGGAAGATGGTCATTTCCAGCTCTGCAATCCGCCGGCCGAGACACTGCCGCACACCCCACCCGAAGCCCAAGTACCGGAAGTGGGTAGTGTTCTTGTCCTTGTCCAGCCACCGGGTTGGGTCAAAAATGATGGGGTTGGCGAAGTAGCTGGGTTCCCGGCCCATGGCATAGATGGCAACCTGCACCAGTGTCTGAAGACAAGATGGCCAGATGCCTGAGCACGCCACCCTGCATCCCTAGGCTCCTGTGCTCCCACCCCACAAAGCTGTTCCCCACGTGGCTGCCCAGGTACCCAGGTAAGGACATTGGCATTCTGCCTACTGTGACCTTGAATCAGGTCCTGCCCCTCCCCGAACCTCACTCCTGGAAAAGGAGGGTGGCTGAAAACCCAAGGTCAGGATACAATGGGTCCTCCCATCCCTTCTGAGCCTCATGAGGGTCTGGGATGAGATCCATTTCCTAACTCTGAGCATCAGCAAGTCAGCAGCACCATTACCCACTGTCCCCACCACCTCTGCTCTTCTTCCTTCAAACTCAGACTGCTGCCACTAAGAACTAGTGCCCCAGGGCCCAGAAGGAAGGTAGGACAGTCTGTAGCCACCATGTGTCACAACTGCAGCCTTCTTCATCAGCCCTCTGCCTCCTTCTCTGGCAGGACCCACAGCTCCCGGCCGCTCCTACCTTGGCTGGAATCAAGTAGTCATGGAGAATCAAGTCACTCGAAACATATCTCTGCAGGGTCACAGAGATGGGGTGCAGTCTGCGGGAAGAGAGCACTCAGAAACGGATGGCCCAAGATGGACACGTGCCAGACCCTCCATCCTGTCACGGCCCCAGCGGCAGCCCCTGGGTATCTATTTCCTCCTTCCCTTCCCACCTATCTCTTCCAACCCCATGATGCCTGCGTCTGACCCCTGCCAGTCCTGCCTTGGACTCCTCCCTCAGCCCCAACCAGCATGGGGAACGGGCAGGGAGGCACAGTGGGGCAGGGCGGGCTGGGCTTGCCTCAGTGTCTCCTTGATGCTGGCCTTGAGCAGCGGCACCAGCTGCAGCATCTTTGTCATGTCCCCCTGGGCCTGGCACCGAGCAGCCTGCACCTCCTCCCGCAGCATGGCCTGCACCTTGAGGTTGCGAGCCATCTCATACAAGTGCCACTGGAGGGTCATGGATGTCTGGGGGAGGGGCACAGAGACCAGCAGGGCCTGTCACTTGGGCAACTTGAGGTCCCTAGCCCATGCTGAATTCTCCTCTCCAATAACCCCTCCCTCTTCCACCTTCTTCTCTATCTCCAGGACATCAGAATGTGAAAAGCAAACATTCAAGAAGGTGATCTCTGTCCCTGTCCCCAGCCCTCCTGTCCCCAGCACCCATCCATCCCCCAGCTACAGAACATCAGCACCTGCCAGTGCCTTCTTCCAAAGGACTCCTGGTGCCTTCAGAAACCAACCCTTCCTCTGCATGGGTCATCTCTTACACAGCTGCCCTTACTCCTGAACTCTTTCAAACAGCCACCTACTCCCAGCCGCTACCCCAAATCCCAGCAGAGCTTGGAGCAAGACACACAGGTCCTAAAGCCAAATGGCAGAAGGGACCTCTGTCTGGATCAAGGCTAGCATGTGGGATATACAGAGACAGAGCAGCCAGTGTCAACATAAGCCAGGACTCGTGACCAGTTGTTCTCAAACCCCACACTCCCAGATTCCTCTGTGGTGACAGAGAGGCCCCCTGGGGCCCCAGCTGGGCGCATCCCCCTTCCTGGGGCTGGGATACAGATCGTTAGCACATTACCTTTCCCGGGAGACTAGGATACCTTTCACTTCCCCCAGGAGAGCCAACAATGAAAAATAGCCACACAGTCCTTTCTCAGCTGTGAATTCTTGCCTGGCTCCCCGAGGCCTCCTTATGACATTCAGAGGCCTGAACCCCACCCCAATACCTGCCTAGGGCTCTGCTAGTGCCCCCCCATCCCCGAAGAGCACACACCTAATACCTAGTCTCTGGTGACACAGGGCTGCACACGGCTCCTGAGGCCCAGAAATTTTCCCCACCCTGCTAGCTCCTCTTCCTGGAACTCCCTCCCAACACAGGAAGCAAATGCGTTTATCTCAGTACCTCCCAGGCCTGTCCCCAAGAAGGTATTGGAAGGGACCTGTTTAATAAGATAGTTAACTAAGTCAACTGTGACTTTAAGTTAGCTGTGTGACTTTGGCCAAGTTATTTAACCTGTCGGCAGCCCTGTTTCCTCACCTAAAAGAAGAGAGGGAAGAGGGGAAAAAATGAGAACCGAGACCAGTCATGTAAAGGTACAAGGTTCCAATAATGAATGTAACTGCACTGTATACCTAAAATGTACCAATAAACTCAAGAAAAGAAGAGAGGGTGACAGCGACGTACTTCACCATGTCCTCACCACACAGCAAATGAGGCAGCACCGTGGAAAGCTTAGGACACTGCCTGCCACATAGTGTGTGCTAAATAAGTGGTGCCTCCTCTTGAGGGCTACTTGGGTGCAGGGAACATTTTGCGGGGAACCCCTCTACGTAACAGCAATGAACTATGCCCCAAATGTGCTCAGAGGCTCCAACTGCCTCAGGGACTAAACTCCTCCATCAGAGCATAATAGTGAGGAAAGCATTAACCCCAAAGCACCTTCAAACCTTTAGAAAGGGGCAGAGGATGTAGCTCAGTGCTAAAGTCCTGAGTCCAATCCCCAGTGCCACACACAGGGAAGTTTGAGATACCATGTGGACAGTGGAAGGGAGGCCACCCAGTGGAAGCCTCTGGTCTTTGGGGGACCATGGGGCACTAAGGTCTAAAGGAGAGGAGAAGAAATGACAAAAGGACCCTTGAGATGAACCCCAATGTTTCTGGGTTCTGCCTGCCTGTCTCCCTGGATCTGAGAAGCCACACCCTTAAAGACTGCACAGAGCTGAACATGGTGGTGCACACCTGCAATCCCAGCACTTAGGAGGCTGAGGGAGGAGGATCGCTATGAGTTCAAGACCATCCTAGGCTACATAGTGAGTGCAAGGTCAGCCCGAAGTACATAGTGAGAAACTGTCTCAAAAGACAAAAAAAAAAAAAAAAAAAGACTCTAAGAGGAACCTGGGCTTCACTGCCTAGTGCAAAAGCCCTCAGGTTTGCCTGTTTTTGAGTCTTTACATCACAGAAAGCATAGTCTCGACTAAAGATGGTTTGACTTTAAGGTTTTTTGACTGTACGCTGATGCAAAAGCAATAAGTATTAGGAGAAATGTGACTTCTGAATGTTGCATTTTGACCTTTCCTGGGCTAGGTCAAAGTCATCTCTCTTGCCATGCTGAGCAGCATGGTGACCAGGAGGGCACAGTGCCGACCCTGCATAGTTATGAACACAGTTTAAAATCCAATGGCGTGGCCCACGGCTCCATGTAGGTACCCAGAGAAAGTGTAGCTGGTCACTTCCTTTCCACAGCCACAGACAAATCTGGCTGATCAGCCTCCAACGCTGCCCAGTGGGTACCCTCTGACCTCTCTCTCCTAGATTAGTGTCCAGGGAGAGGAGGCAGAGCCCCCCTGGGCACAGCCCCCTTAAACATTAGGGCTTCAGACGACACACACAAGTACAGGGAGGCCCGGGATGTGCCCACTGCCACTCACTGTGTCCACACCTCCTGCCAACATCTCGGTGATGTTGGCCTGAATGTTCTGGAAGGGCAGCTTGTTACTTCCCAGGAGGCTGTGGAGGATGCCAGGGTACTTGTTCTCAAAGTCTTTCTTCTGTCTCAAGTCTAAGTAGAAGTTCTTGGTGTATGTGTCGGCTACGGGGCGGGACAAAGGACACAGTGGCATGAGGCCCTGCTGTGGCACGGAAGGACATGGCCATCTTGGGGAGACAGGGACACCAGGGCTGGGATTCTGGGGCTCCTGCTCCATAGGCTGCCATTTTACCTAGCACTTAATCTGTGCCAAATCCTTCATGTTGTTTAATTCTTGACCACAACTTTATGGGGTATGTGATATCACTTGCCCAAGGTCACACGGGTATAAGGGGCTAAGGAGACACTGACTCAGCACCTCCCAGTCACCTTCTCCACCTGACCTTCCCCAGTCTCTGCCACTCAAGGCATCCTGGTACAGCCATGGCCAGTCACCGACCTTCCACCCCCACAAAACTAATCCTCCCCAACAGCCAGGCTCAGACCACCAAGGCCAGGGCTTCTGCTGTCTTCCCAATACTTGTCCCTTCCCACCAGGTGTGGATTTCCTGTGTGGCACATCCGTGGCCCCCAGCAAGGCTTGGGAAACAGGCAGCCTGAGGTGTGGGCTTCTAGCGGGTTCTCCTTTCTCCCTGATAGACAGCGCTATGCCCGAGGAGCTTTCACCTTTATTGAAAATCACATCCCAGGCAGCTGCGTGGTCTCTCCAGGTCTTGGTCCTGAAGAGCCGGAAGAGGCCCGGGGGCAGGATGAGCATGGGCACGCTGGTGTGGAACATCTGGTAGATGGCATTGATGAACCGCTGGGCCTCTGTGTCCACGACTTCCTCCAGCATCCCCATCCGCTCCCCAAATATGAGGTTGGTGATGGCTGCAGGGGTGGGGGCACTGAAGCTGAGCAGCCCCTTCTGACCCCGAATCAGAGAGCCTCTGAACCCCTTGCCCACCACACCTAGCACACTCCACCGAACCCCAGCTTCCTCCAGGGAAGAAACAGGAGCAGAGCAGGGCTGCAGGACAGCAGAAAGCTGCTCTTCCAGCCACCACTCAGCCCCTCAAAGGGGACGTAGGAGATGTGAGGAGGTGAGAAGAGGACTGGGCTGCCACCCTACGCTGCCCACCCTGCCTGCAAGAGAGATTGCTCATTGCATCCCAGTCTGACTGTGCCTAAGAGACCACAATAACTTCAAACTTTTCTCACCTACCAAGTGAGGAATTTGAATGCTGGTTTTCTAGCAAGCCAAGAGTACCCCACATCTCCTGTAGTGTCCACATGATCTCCATTAAGCCATATGCTGCTCTCCCTGCCCAAGTTGCCTGACTGCTTCATCTTGCCTGGATAACTCCTACATATCCTTCAGTACCCAGCTGCCATTAACCACCTTCCTCTCTCTTTCCAGACTTTGAAGGTTTGTTTTGGAGAGGAGGGAGACTTACAGAATGAAGAGCTAAGCCAACTTCTGACTTTTGTGGGATAATGGCGAAAGGGACCCAGGCTTTGAGGATCCTCAGCCCCCAGGATGAGTGCCAGGCATGGGGGACACCGCCTCCCAGTAGGTGGCTGATGGTGGTCGTGTCCAGCAGCTCCTCCCAGAAGGCGGAGCTGTCACTTCTGTGTAAGCTGTTGCTGGGTCTTGAGCTAAGAGGATGAACCCTGGGCCCTCTCACCCCAAACTCCCTGCCAGCCAGCCCAAGACCCTTACACTCAAAGGCAAAGCGGAAGAGGTCATCACTGATGTCCCCTGAGAACGTTCCGGAGTTCTGCTGCTGGATGCGCCTGTGTAGGAGGCTGACGAAGTCCTGGGACACCGGCTCCAGCAGGGGCACAAAGTTCCTGATGGACTCCTGCACCATCACCTCCTGGTTCAGGACCACACGGTCTTTCTTCCAGGCTTCCGACTTCCTGGGAAAACACAGGTCCATGTCACAGATCCCAGTCTAGCCAATGCTGAAGGGTAACAGGGTTTTCCAGGGCTGAGCTGGTGCCTGAGCACCTGGCACCTCACAGTGCCTGCTCCCTGTGCCCTCTGCTGGGCCAAGGAGAAAAGGGACAAAGAGAAGAAGGACGCAGCTCGAGCTGCCCTTCATTCCAGCTGCTCTTGCTGCTATGACCCTAAAACTTGTTCCTCCCCCTGCATCCCAACCCTCACACACCTTCACCACAAGGGCCTCTGTGTGGTCACCTTTCTCTCTCCTGCACAGACATAATGGGCTTCTCTTCCTCTGCACCATGCAGGTGTCCCAGGGTTCACTGCAGCAGGGACACTTCAGGGATTCAGAACTGAATAGCACACTTTTATTTATTTATTTATTTATTGGCAGTACTGAGGATTGAACTCAAGGCCTTCACACTGAGCTGTCGTCCCTGTTCCTCACACCCCCATTTAGATCGTATGGGACTCGAGCTGGCAGGACCTGGCCCAATTTGTCACGGTACCCCTGGACCTCATCCTAGGCCTGCCACACATCAGGTGCTCAGTGAGATGGGACTTAATCCTTGCAAGATCTTACAGTTATTCATGCAGATCTGCAGCCTGACATTTTCCTGTCACCATCATCACCGCCCTCTGTCCTGTGGTGGCAGGAAGGTGATAGGGACTTGACACCCAGCCTCCCCCAGCCTCTCCTCTTCCTTACCACCACCCCCCAGGCTGCAGACGTGTGGGACTCACTTGAACAGGACACCGATGGGCCTCTGGTAGTACTGGTGATAAGCCACCCAGGGCGGAATGAGGTAGCGCTCGGGGTGGGGCCCCTCGACCTTGAAGAGCAAAGCTGCCTCCTCGGGGTCCATGATATAAACCGACTCCACGGTGCCAAGTTTCTCCCTGGGAGACATGAAGGGGACTGTGGGCCAGGGCTGTAGACAAAGCCTTCAGGCTCCGGGTCTCCAGCTCCTCTTCCAAACATAGGGACGGATGGAGAAATTGACACAGACGGGACCTTTGCCAAGCCTTCTGTGAGTGACAGCCTCATGATTACTGCTGTCACACACCCCCGGCCTCCAGCAGATCATGGTCTCCTGTCCCATACTGTCTTTCTAGTGTCACTGTCGCCCATACCCCAGCCTCTCACCTGCCCATGAAGTGGCACATGTGCATGTCACTCCACAGAGGGTACTCTGCAATGACTTACCAGCTGGGTAGGCTAGTGTCCCAGGCCAACCTGTCCCTTCTAGGACTGTCACTGTGGGAGTTGTCACCCTGTCCAGGAGTCACGCAGAGTGCTTCACCTCTGTTGAACTAAACTGGCAATAAAACATCAGGCCCCCGGTGTAGACCCGGGTAGGTGAGGGACTCACTGAGCAATTAGCAGAGTCCTGATCCACACAGGGTCGGCTGTGTGAAGGCAGGAGCAAGCTGGCATCTCACAGCCCCAGAGAAAGGCCAAAGAGAAAGCAGCCAAAGCCACCAGCCCCTGGCCTCCAGCTCCAGAACTAGAAGGCAGTGTGTTTATGCTAAGCAAGCAAAAGCGAAAGAGGGAGGAGGAAGGGGAAAAGGGAGGGAGAGAGCGGGAGAGAAAGAAAAGAGCAGGAAACAGGGAAAGAAGGAAGGAAGGAAAGAGAAAGGGAGGGAAGGCTGGAAGGAAGGAAGGGGAGGGGAGGGAAAAGAAAGGGAAGGGAAGAAAAAGAAGTCTACTTTGTTGCATCTGCTAGGAGAGAAAGAAAAGAGCAGGAAACAGGGAAAGAAGGAAGGAAGGAAAGAGAAAGGGAGGGAAGGCTGGAAGGAAGGAAGGGGAGGGGAGGGAAGAAAAAGAAGTCTACTTTGTTGCATCTGCTTTTTGCTAAGATATAATTAATTGAAAATATATATTTAAGACAACAGATTTAAAAAATGAATCTGTATAGGTCCAAGTGCTCCCTTCCTCTTTCTCCTCCTCTCTCCCTTCCTCCCTCACTCTCCCCTTGCAACCTCAGAGAGCACTGCTTTCACTAGGGAGCCATAAGGCCTGGGCCCCCCGCCTGTCTTGACCTTAGTTTATTTATGGCCTCCAGAAAATGCTGTGTTTTCCAGCCTCCAGCCCAGGTCCCTGAGGCCTTGGGCTGCTATCTGTGCCATCTGGGAATCCGGCCCAAGGAAAAACTCATCTGACCTCAGCAACAGCCACCCCAGGACGTGTCTAAGAGAAAACATCCAGGCAGGTTTGGTGCCTTTAAAGACTGCCTTAAAGACCTGACTTGAGGGCCGGGGATTTAGCTCAGCGGTTCGGTGGCCTGCCTTGCAAGCGCAAGGACACAAATTCAATCCCCAGTACCAAAAAAAGACCTGACTTGCCTCTCAAGTGCAAGGTCCTAAGTTCAATCCCCAGTACCAAAAAAATAAAATAAAACAAAAGACCTGGCTCATCCACACTTCAGCTCCTGCCGTGCTCAAATATTACCCATGGATTCACGGCAATTCTTCACCTGCACCTGGCTGCACTTTGGTACCTACTCTATAGACCAGGAATACTGGCCGGGTGTGAGAGTGCATGCCTGTAATTGCAGCACCCTGGAAGATTGAGACAGGAAGATCCCAAGCCTGAGCCCCACTTGGGCAATTCAGTGACGTAGCAAAACCCTGTCTCCAAATAAAAAGAGGAAAGGGCTGGGGATGCAGTTCAGTGTGAAGGCCCTGGGTTCAATCCCCAGTATTGAAAGAAAAGACACAAAGAAGAATAAGAATGGAAACAGCCTTTGTAGTATGGGGAGAACCGTGGAAGTTTTATTTCAAATCCCTCATGTTTATTCCAGAGTTAATTATCTCCAACTGTAAACTGCAGCCTAATCCTGGCACACAGACCTGGGAGTCACACAATTTGGGTTCCAGCCCTAGCTTAGGCCTGGCCAACTGTGACTAACCCTAACCTTACCCTGTCTAACCCTAACCATTCCCTCTCATAAAATGGGGATCATAACCCCAGCCTCAAGGACAGGGCAAAAGCTCAGAGGAAAGTGGTTCAGAAATCAGAGATAGTTAATCCAGTGAGGCATCCTACTTGGACCGGGAAACAGGGAAGAAACAAAAAGATGGAAAGCAAGGTAACTAGGGACACTGGGGACATAGGACCAGAGACACAGAAGGAGCCACCTCTCCTAACCCAGTTGTGGGGACTGGGGCTCTCTGCCTCCAAACAACTGTAAAAAAAAAAGTAGCCTGGACTGGACAACTAAGGGCTGCGGGAGAGAGGGAGTGGGACAGGACCCAGCACACGAGCCACCCTCCCCAACACCACTTTCCTGTTAAAATTTTTTGAGTGGCTAAAGACCCTGTGACTTACCCACTGTTCCTCTCAGCCTCCCCTCCCCACCCGCAGCCACCATGGCCAGCACCTCCCCTCCCCAACACTGCTCTCAGAAGTGGCTTCAAGGCTACTGACATGGACATTGCTAAGCCGGGCACAGAACATAGTCTTGTGGCTGGCAGAAATAAGGTAAATGCTTCCAAAAGGAAGGGGTCAGAGCAAAGCCATACAAGGTGAGCTGAGGAAAGGGGTCTGACTGGTACCAGGGAGCCTGAGCCTCAAGCTCTCAGCCTCTAAGTACTCCCAAGGTGTCCTGGGAATGATGGGGGGCTTGTTGGTTCGCACACACACTCACACACACACACACACACACACACACACCAGCATATTGTTTCCCTGGAGAAGGCCCAGGTCTCAGAGCTGGGAGAGGAGAGCACTCATCCTTGTCCACCAGCACTGGGAAGTAGCTAAGAGGCTAGTACCTGCAGTGTCCCGCACCTCCCCACCCGAATGCCTCCACCCTGCACCCTCCACCCTCTGCCCTCCACCAGGCTCACCTGTAAATGGGGCCATACTTCTGGAAATTCTGGACATGATGATAATGGATGTGGTAAGAGCCTTTCTCCCTCCACAAATGGTACAGGTTTAGCCAACCATTGTCACCTGGGGAAGGGATCTCCTGGAAGGGGCGAGGACGGCAGGCAGAGGTGCCAGCCACTCCTCTAGGGAGCATCTTGGGATGATTTGCTAGGCCCTGCCGGCTGGTGCTCAGGAAAGCCTGGCAGCCTCTGACCAGCACCGAGTTCAGCGAAAGCCCCTTGGCCAGCATACTGTGCCCACTACTGCAGCACGTACTCTTCAGAACAGATCCTGCCACGGTGTAACCAGCCTGAACCTTGGCCCAAGCTTATAAGCACCAGCTCAAGGCTGAGAGGGAAGTAAAGCCCTCGCCACTCCTCCTGAGCTCACTGCCCCTCCCAGACCGGGGCCTGATGTACAGCCTAGAATCTCTGCAGCCGGGGACAGGAGACCCTTGGTCTGTGTCCCCAGGGCCAGCAGAACAGGCCCAGAGACATTTTCCTGCCTTGACTTGTGCTGAGATCCTTCTTGTCCCCAGCGGTGACATCCAGGCTCTGGGAGACACCCTTCAAGATGGAACAGCCCAGACTTAGGGATCAGCAGGGGTCCAAGAGAAAGTCAGACACTTTGCCAATTTTATCTGACATCTTCCTTGTGGCCCTGCTATTTACATATGTGTGATTACAAACTTTTTTTATAGCTCCATGATTTTTAAAGTTCTACTTTTTTTCTGCTTGCCAAACAAAAACCATATTCTCTGAAAATGTGATAATTGGCAAGTATTGTTGCTAACATCATCATTATCATCATCATCATCATCATTATATTATTGGTTTTTTGAGACAGGGTCTCACTATATGGCTCAGACTGGCTTTGAACTCAATAAGCAGCACATGCTGGCCTCGAACTTAAGACCATACTCCTGTCTCAGTCTTCTAAGTGCTGGGATTACAGGCGTGCACCACTGTGCCCTGCAATTTAAAAAATTACAGTCCCATTTGATTGTTGTGGAGTACTGAGGAAAAGGACAAACAAAAAAATTATGATCTTGGGCCAGGGGTTTGGCTCAGTGGTTCCACTGCCTGCCTTGCAAGCACAAGGGCCCAAGTTTGATCCCTGGTACCAAAAGAAAAAAGAAAATTAAGATCTTATGAGCCTTTAATGTTGTTGAGTGAAAGAAGTCAGACACAAAAGAGCACATGCCATTGGATTCCAGGTTGACTTCAGTGATTGACAAAATTTATTTATGGTGTTCAAAGCGGTTGTCTCATAGAGTAACAATTGAAAGAAAAACAAGAGAACATTATGGAATTCTGGGAATGTGTACTTTTCAGAGTGTGTCAAAACTTACTCAACTACATACTTGTGCTTTTATTATTATGTTACTCAATAAAGAGAAAAATGAAAAAAATTGCCTATCAGATTATTTTCTAGGAAAAAAAAAAAAAAAAAAAAAAAAAAAAAAAAAAATTTTTAAAAAAAAAAAAAAAAAAAAAAAAAAACAAAAAAAACGTAGGTTTTTCCCACACAGACACTGGCTCCTTAAAGAAGAGATAAGGGCACAGAAGTTCATACAAAGGGAAGATGGTGGATGTGCTGGATCTTCATTAGGCTGAAAGTGAGGATTTTGCCATGGGTGAAGATGGGGAAATTGAAAGAAAAAGCAAAGAAACAGAAGGTCCATGTCTTTGGCTCTGAAGGGGGATCCCAAACACAAACGTGTGAGGATTATGACTGTGTGGGGCGGGGCAGCGATGAACCTGGACCACAGCACTCTGTCAAAGGCTGGATTCTCTTTGTCACTGGAATCCATGAGGAAGCTACTGAAGCAGACATCCATGACAAATTCGCAGAATATGGGGAAATAAAAACATCCATTTGAACCTGGACGGGTGTACACGATACCTGAAGGGCTATACTGTAGTTGAATATGAAACATACACAGAGGCCCAGGCTGCTATGGAGGAATTTAAGGGCCAGGATTTGATGGGACAGCCAATCAGTGTGGACTGGTGTTTTGTTCAAGGTCCACCCAAGGGCAAGAGAAGAGCTGGCCAAAGACGCAGCACAAGTCCAGACCAAAGACATCACTGACAATTCCTCTTGTCCCGGTGGTCTCTCCAAGATTTTATTCGGCCATGCAGCCTTGGAAAAATACATTTGGGGTGGAACTCTGTTTGTATTTAATCTCTTACCCCTACCTGTGTAGTGTTTCTTTTGAGTTATTAATAAATGTTTTGTTTTCTACGTTTAAAATTTTAAAAAGAAAGGAAAGATGAACCCAAAATAAGCTTTGGTGAAACTGTGCCTCTTGGGTACTATGGAGGACCTTCCGGCTAGAGCTCATGGGGGTTATCACCCCAGGCAGAGTGGAGTCTACCCAGCGTGGCACAGAGGATTCAGATGTGTGGCCCTGGGAGGCACTGTGGGTACTGCTATCTGGCAGGGAAGGGGCAGCAGTTTGTTCAGTGGATTCCAGCTGGGATGAGGGCCCTGCCAACCTAAACAGCCCTCCCGCAGATGATCCAGGCAATAGCCATCTTGCTCTCTCAATTGATTTGTGCCAATTAACATGGATCCGGCTTTTATCAAAACGACTGAGCATTCTGAGCTGAACTGTCAGGACATAAATTCTCACCAATTTTATAGAGATTCTACACACAATAACACCGCATCTCTTAGAGCAGAAGCTAGGAACTCGCTTTCCCAGCATACTTTGCAACTGGAATGCAGCCAAGTGCCTTGGGTTCCACCAATCAGATGAGCCCTCATGAAACTTTGGTTGTTGAACTCTGACAAGCCAGGCACTCTGAGCAAGACTGACAGAAGCCTCCAGCCTGGGCCAGCTTTGGGGTCTGAGCCCTATGGGGGTCGTGGGTGACCACCATGGCAGCTCTGGGATGTAATTCAAGTGATGTTCCTAACACCATGGCATAGAAGCCTGATGATCTATCCTCCCGTATATAACTAACCTCCTTTGACAAACTCCTTTCCGGCTACATCCTAATCCAGTGACTTATGTTGTGACAACTGAGAATTCTGGATGGCACAATAGTAAACAACTTATATTGCTAAAATTTGGTCATACTGTTATATTTTAAACATCCTGTTAGCACCTAAATTCAAAAACTGAGTTGGATTATTTGAACCATCTTACTTTTAATTTATGTCCTATAAGTTTCAACTCATTAAAGAACATTGTGGGAACCCAAGGGACAGACAGTCCAGTGGCATATTGACATCAGAAGGGAAGGGTGCAAAAAGGTTATTTTGGAGACAGCTATCATAATACCTGTAGTTTCATCACCCTGAGATAACTGTTAAAAAACATTTTTCTGTGTATATTTCCTGTCCTTTTTCTAATTAATGCTTCTTTATTTTATCTTTTTCCAGGTGACTGAACTTTTATCAAACTTTTATTTTGATGTCTAGTTTAATCAAAATAATCCATGTAAATGCCTTTAAAATTCAAGTAGTGCTGGGCATGATGGCTCACACCTATAATCCCAGCTACTCAGGAGGCTGAGGCAGGAGCATCACAAGTTCCAAGCTAGCCTTGGTAATTTGTTGAGAACCTATCTTAAAATTTAAAATAAAGAGCTGGGGATTTGGCAAGTGCAGAGACCTGAGTTCAATCCCTGATACCAAAATAAATTTTTTTAAATAAAAATTTAAAGGGCTGAGGTGTAGTTTAGTGGTAGAGGGCTTGCTTAGCATGTCAATGTTCAGCCCTGGAAAAAAAACTCAAGTAGCACTTATGTCAGTCTGGGTACAATCAAAGAAGCAGAAGAGTAGAAAATATGTATCGAGGGATTGATTTACCTTTAATATTATCTTCTCAGGAGACTGGGGTAAGAGGTTCAAAAGTCTAAGGCCAAGCTGGACAATTTAGCCAGACTCTGTCTCAAAGCAAACAATTTAAAAAGCCTAGGGATGCAGTTCAGTGCAAGGTCCTGTGTTCAATGCCCACTACCAGGAATGACTTGTGCAACTGTGGCCTGACTAAGCAAGTTCCCAGACAGCATCAGGAAGGTGTGTTCTGTCCTCCCTCACTTAGTCAGCTTATTACAGATTTTAGTCGTATCCACCTAAACTGAGCACTGTGGTGCACGCCTGTGATCTCAGCACTCAGGAGGCTGAGGCAAAAAGATTCCTGAAAATTCAAGGCCAGCCTGGGCTACATAGCAAGGTGCTGTCTCCAAAAGAAAAAATTCCTATCTGCCTAGATCAGGGTTTGGCTAAGTGGGGACCTAGCCTAGCTATGTTGATACATAAGCTATCATCAGTACCGCTGACTATTCATAAATCAGTACATGAAGCTGACTAGCTACACTACTAGACTTTATTATTATTATTATTATTATTATTATTTATTATCATTATTATTATTTGCCCCATTCCAGAGGAGCAGGGAAATCCCTTCTCTGCACAATTGGCCACACAGGCTCCTGTTCAAATCTATTTCTTCTTGGAAGCCTCTTCCCTGCTGATGGGATGGGGCGAACGAAGATGAGGCACCAAAGGACAGGGGAAGGAGTGCAGAGATCAGGCAGAAGAGGGCCAGCAGAGGGCTGGAAAGG